TGGTTTATGCTGACAGCCTGAAATGTTTATGCACGACAGATATATTTTTCCAGAATTAAATGCCCATAATTAAGGGTGCATATAACACACGAGTGTGTATTATACGCGAATAAATAAGTCTTGTGTCATTGATCAATCGGAGGGTTCTAATTGGGATTGTTCACTAGCCAATATCTTAGCAAATGTTGCCGTGGGCACTTATTAGAGCGGGGTGCTTATTACGTCGAATACAGTATGCTGAATGTGCCACTCCATTCGGTGACCACATGACAAAGGCCACGCTAAAGGAAAAAACGGCTACTGTCAATCTCCTAGTCAAGTGATCTAGACACAAACATGTACCCAGAGTACCGTATATCATGGTGACATCTTGATAAGTAGAGTAAGTCTACATCCCCTGACCACCAGCCGGCTACTGACACAACGGGAGTCCACAGAGTCCAGCAGTGACTAGGTACCTTGGGATGTTTCTAGTCGGGGAGTGTTTCCTATGTCACAAGACTGGCAATAGCTACAATGGCAGGTGATCATGCAGCCGGAATATGCTCTCGTGCAATCTCTTGACCCCAGATGGAAGTGGGTACAGACGATGGAGCATCAACTTTCTTTCAGGTCAGAAGTAGTCCACTTATCCACCACATTTTCATTGTTATTTCTTTCTGGCAATGAAGACAGTTGGCCCCAAAGAAATGCAGCATGGTATGTGGTATAAAAGACACACCCTGTGGTCCAAACAAACGTGTTAAAGGAGCACTAACTCTTGGATGCCCACACCATGACATTGACTAGAAGAAATATATAACATATCTCAAAGGGAAAGGTTTACATCCTGTCATGGGTTTTGATAATCTCAATCATGAGCTCAAACCAACCTTGTTGCCCCAAATACTGATTAACAAATCACACAAGTAATTACTGTAGGCCATAAAATAACGTATAAAACATAATTTCATGATACTTCAACCTTATTTTGGTACAAATATCTATAGGTCTTTGAAAGGCATTTAGAAGTGATACACATAAGGAAGAGAACATATGGATGTCAACTTCTTTATTATGAGGAACACAAAGTTTCATAAGATGAAGGAGTAAGCATATACTCCGAAACGTTGTGTTCTTCATAATAAAGAAGTTGACATCCATATATTCTCTTCTTTAAATATCTGTAGTTCGTTAAGAAAACTTGGTGCAGTAGATGCTGGGGAAAGGAACCAAAAGAAGTCTTGCAGCATCATTTAGGACTACGATGTTGAGTGCAAATAGTGATGCCTTGAACATATTGGTTCCCTGTATGGTCATTCAGTTCACAGTTTAAGCCATGTGCCCAGTGGTGCTCTTAGGAACAAGATTTCAAACCTTCCTGTAAACTTTGAATTTATAAATACTTTTAAAAAAAAAAAAGACAAGATGTCTCCATAAGAGTGAGTGACTGGGTATGGTGTTACGCTGCTTGTAGCAATATTCCAGCAATATCACGGAGGGGAACACCAGAAATGGGCTTCACACATTGTACCCATGTCGGGAATCGAACCCTGGTCTTCAGCATGACAAGCAAAGGCTTTAACCATTAGCCTACCCGACCACACTCTTCAGGACAATGCATGCCAAACTAGAAGTTAGTTCAGAGAATGCTACAAGGGCAAAGCTCTTTAGACTACAAAGGTCAGTGTTACCACAGATCACAAGGCTACGTACATGTTCAGCAGTCCATGGTAAGGAAGAGAGGTCGCTAGAGAAGGTTCGAAGCCCTTGTCGCGACAACCGAAGCAAAGGCTGTGTAGGATTTGACAAGCCTAGGGGTAACTGACACATTGGTCAAATTGGCAACAACGCTGACCTGCCGTCCATGGTAGTTAGGGCCTGCTTTAACCTGTGTAGGATGGTGAAGCCTCTCCCTATGTTGCTCAAACCGTTTCATTTCAAACTCAAGTTTGGTTTCCATTCCTACAAACATTCAGCTCTTTAGGTCTGGAGTTTCAGAGAAGGTGAAAAAGTTAACAACGACAGATGAACAATGACAAGAAGCTATGGCATAATCTCACTTGACTTTCTATCGTCAGCTAATAAAAACTACAAAATTACTATTTAGTAAACAATATTGGCAAGAATAAAAGTAGTTGTACATGACTAGTTTTTGTTTGTTTTGTTTGTTATTTAATGCCCCATTCAATCAATGACGTGCAATCAACCAAGCCACTGAGCCTTACTTGGAATACCCTGGGGTGGCTGGGTACAAGTTTCATACATACGGTACATATATTTTTTATTTTGTTCCACTAAATAAAAAAAACGTTTTCAGAGTTCCTATCACAGTGTCTTCAAATTTGAAATACAATGTAAATATTGTCTGAAACGTCTTTTATCAGTTGTCGAGATTTGGCTACTTTGTTTTCTTGTTTTATTCCAGGCTACCATTTACAAAATCGCAGACAATAAGGGATTTACGTAGACCTGCTCAGAAGCTAATGTTCACCTACAAATCTACAGCAAATGTCAGAACAAATCACCAAATTTGAATAAAAACATTTCCCCGTTCACATCAGTGTGGTTGTGATGGTCTTGGAGAGGTGTCTTGTGTGTCACTGGTGAAATACCAAGGACAAGGACAGGCTCTAATGCTCACTTTTACATTACTGCACTGAACACAATGTTAAAATACTTTCTAAATTTATGGAAATATGAACTTCAAAAAGAACCCCAATTTTGAACAAAACACTTGTCTTCCCAATTTGCCTGGGAAGCGCATGTGGAATCCTAGATAAAACCCTGTGCATTTTGATAGGGAGCATTGAGAGTTTGAGACATTACATTTTTTTGTTTCAATAAAAAACTTTCATCCGTTTTAAATCCTTTACCATCTCCCACTATTTCAGAACTAGGAAGTTTGAAATATTTCTTAATCAAAGAAACAGGGTACTCACATAAACAGTGCCTAAAGTCCATAACAAACGTCTAAAGCACAGGATCACTATACTAACTGATGTTTCATTGTTTTAAGTCATAAAGCCATTATTACAATCAATCAAAGACCTGATTGTCCATCTCTTGTAAATATCATTATATTGACATAACATTTATTTTACATGATTTATGAATCTGAAAACTTGTATAAATTCATGATTAAAACAATTTTGCAATTAAAAATCTATTTCCCCATTATCAACACAAAAGAACAATTGATAATAATATCAAAGATTGGCACCAAGACAGTATCAATCCTGCTCGCCTGTTTCCATCTTCACTATCATCTTAAAATCCTAAAACAGAAGTAACATGTTGTTATGTGGTGTTTATGCAGATGAATGTGCTGTAAGGGTTCTTCTAGCATAATACACATAGCCTTTGTTGACAGTTATTGCACTGAAAATACACTTCTAATCCTCGTATGCATTATTTGGCTAGGGAAGTTTGCAATAAAAGCATCACATTCTTTTTCAACATCCTAAAAAGTTCTGATGAAAGAAATGCAAAACCTAATAATTTAAAAGAAACCTAAATACAATAACAAATAAGTTTAACAATTCTCACATTTTCTAAATATATCACAACAAACTACAATTCACTAACTAAAATAATTGTGTATCTACGTGACATAAAATGACATCCAATTCAAGGCTCATAGTAAACAAGATGCCTGGTCTACCAAGTAAATCTCACACCTCAAACCCTGGACTTAGGGATTAGGGAAACATGATTCTGTGAGAATTCATTCGTGCCATGAAGTCATTGAACCATAAATTGATTCACATAGGTAAGTCCCCAACAATCATGATAAGAACCAGCACACTACAATCCATGCATAAGTGGGTGAAACTTCCTTCTTGCATGAAGCAATTTTATTCCATTATTGTCAAAAAAAATTAAATGACATTGGTACATATTTTTACCAAATTGAGTTTTCTTTGTTATAAGGCCTTGAAGGTTCACAAGTGTTTCAGATCAAAGTGAGTGTCATGTATTCAAAACATGGCATCTGAACCAAAATATTTCAGGGTCATCCATACTGTTTGATTTTGTAAGGTCCAAAAATTCTATTTTAATCTTAGTTCTGTGAGTGTCCAGACTGTAGCAGAAATCCAGCTCTCTGTTGTCATGGCAGTTTCATCCATCTCAGAGGCACAGGTGATAATAATGTGACCCCTGTGTATATTGACCTGGAACTTCTGTGAAGTCTGGTTCTTTTCCAACTATTCAGATATTATTATCTTTAATATTACTTAGGCTAAAAAAATAATAGTCTTAGTTCTCAGGCACCAGCTGCATCATCATAAAGTCTGCCGCACGTTTTGTTTTTATTTTCATTTTCAAGGAAATATAAAAATCCTAATACTTAAACGCAATGCAAAAAAAAATTGCAATATAAACAAAAACGAAACATGCAATGAACCTTATGATGATGTGGGCAGTGCCTGAGAACCAAGAATATTTTTTTGTTTAGCCTTAAACAACATATTACCTGTTTGATAAGTTTCCATGTACCTTAGTAGTTATGAGTCATTAGGATAAAAGGCTAGTTTTTCAACCTCAACCACATTAGAAAACTCACGCCTCTCTTAATTTTCTTATCTCCAAGTACCCAGATGAAGAAAAATGCTACACATATTCCCTTCTTTCTATATTCTTGAAGAAATATACATATACATAGTCCTACCAAATAGTCATGCTCAAAACAAGTCACGTCACAATTATTGTACAGCTTGTTAGAACAAAATGTATTGAAAATAAAATGTCCCTTCAATTTTATAACAAATTTGAATGAAAATCTAATACTGTATTCGACGTAATAAGCGCCCAGGGCGCTCTCAAAATTAGAAATAGGGGGCTCTTATTAGAATATCATTTTGGTGAAAAAAAACAAAGTTGAAAGATAAATTTCGTGGTTTATGCTGACAGCCTGAAATGTTTTTATACGACAGATATATTTTTCCAGAATTTAATTGCCCATAGTTAAGGGTGCATATAACACACGAATGTATTATACACAAATAAATAGGTCTTGTGTACATTGATCAATCGGAAGGGGTGCTAATTGGGATTGTTCACTAGCCAATATATTAGCAAATATCGCCATGGGCGCTTATTAGAGCAGGGCGCTTATTACGTCGAATACGGTAATTAATTTATAGAGGCCTGACAAGTGTCCCTCATCACCAGTACGTGAATGGCATGATTTGGTTGACTTCATGTAAGAACGCTGTGCTGGAACTCGGCAGCTAAGGACATGGAATTGTGTAGTCTAATATTTCAGAACATAATGAAGTCACAACAAACTCAGTTCAAAGACACACTCCTTGAAATACAAATTCAATCTTTCACACAAATACTTGCAAAAGAATCAAACAAAAACAAACCACTAACATCAATGCATCCTTATGAAATATGATAAAATATATCAGACCCTTAATCTGCTATGGAAATCTATAATGATATGATCATGATACTGTGACTATTCATCTTCTATGATGTGTCTTGAGTGGAGTTGCGTTGGGAGTTTCCGTTGGATAACCTGCCGGGGCTAGAGGTCATTTCTGTTTGTGGTGTGGAGGTTTTGGTCGTGTCCTGTGGGTGCCTTGCTTGTTTGCGGTCGAAGGGAATTAGCAGGATGACAGCCACCAGGACGTGGAAAAACCAGTACACACTGCTGCAAAAGTCAAGATTCAGGATATTTAGTCTTCCCATTACGCAGTTTCACCAGTATTCACACCAGGATTTCCCATGACAAAGAAATCTTGTGTATATGTCACAAGTTTATCATACAAAAATACTCATCTTCCACCCTCATTAAATCAGATCCTTTGTTCGATAACAGTACCGCTCTGAGAGAAGAGCTCAGGTCACCTCCATTGGAGGTCATATCAGTTGAATCTTACAATCAGCCTACCAGCAAAAGGCTTCTAAATTCTCAGTACGAGTGAGCGAAGCATTCACACCAGTATATCAGATGACTTTATCTTGAAAAAGAACCAAAACGACAAGAGAAATATGGCAGAGGCTTTATATTGATGTGTACGTTTTATACATCCTGTCATTTCTGAGTGCCATGGTATCTAAAGTAAAGAGAGATTACCATCGAAATAATATTTGCATTATCAAAGTTTTTTTATCAGGGTGGTAAACATATGAAGCCAAAACATTTGGGTTCAAATATCTGATTGGCCCAAGAAACCACTCATCCTTTACTTAGATTGGTTGATCAAAGTTCACTCAGGGTTCACATGACATGACCTTATATGGAGTTGTCCTCAGATCTTAAAGCAGAGGCATATATAGTGGCATTGTATCGGAGTGACAGATCGGAGGGACAGATCGGATATAAATGAGACAGCTCTTCCTCATACTTTTAATGAGTAATATTTGACACAACATATTTTCATCAATCGGTACTAGTTCCTACTGAAACATCCAACCGTAACAATTACTTACTGTTTCATAATAATGTTTCACAAAGCAGTCAGCAATATTTCAGCCATATCATGGCAGCCTGTAAACAATCACAAGCCCAACCAGTGATTGATGTAATGAATGACTCAGTAGCATAATTGTAAGCAAGTATGGTTTTACACCGCTTTGAGCAATATTCCAGCAATATCACGGCGGGGGACACCAGAATTGGGCTTCACACACTGTATCCATGTGGAGAATCGAACCCGGGTCCTGGCGTGACGAGTGAACACTTTAACCACTAGCAGTAGCGTACAAACACACACTACGACTGTCAAAAGTCCATGTTTAAGTATGAGCAATATGATAACAATAGCACTGCGATCATTTTGTAAATCCGAGCCCTGGTGACCTACAGTAAACTACGTTAATAACGAACACGCTTATAACAAACTGGCAGACATAACAAACTGGATTTGTGGTCCCAGCCATTTGCTGTATATATGTTTGTAACGAATTACGGTTATAACGAACCAAAGTTAGTGGTCCCTTGACAGTTTGAACCCAGGTCCCATTGGGGTGTTGGGAACACAAACTGCATGATGTGACAACAGTAAACCAGATTGTGATACCATTGTATGGGTGTACTTACTTGTAGAAAGTGATAAAGGGAGCTACATTGAGATATGTGAATGGCAGGACAATGTAGGCCATAGGCAGCTGGGTGCCCACCCAGGTCAACACCTCGTACAAGGCTCGCATGCCGGCCGACTCCTGGAAGTGGGGTCGGATGTTTCTCCGGATCTGACACAGACCAACAGCATTAATGAATGACATATCTCAACTACAACATGTAGAATGGCAACAGTGTTTTGTAAGTTGATGAAAACCATGTCACTCATATGAATTAGAACATTGTCTCATTCAATATTGATCCTCAAAGGACAATTTTTTTTTGGTCTTTCAAAATCAGATTTTCTTTTATAAATATTTTTTTTTGACAAATGTATCTTATTGTAAATGATAATAAAAACAGTATTTAATTTGTTATTCATCAATTATAATTGACACAAAAACATGAACACAAAAGGTCCCATAAGTCCCAGTGTAAATATGGTACCGTATTCGCTGTATCAAGCACCCCACACCAACTGAGTAATCCTTATAAAGTCCCTGTACAAAGCTCTAAAATGTACACTACATATTTCTTTGAACACAGAAACCACAGCAGTGTAGAGTGAATGAGTGAATATGGTTTTACACTGCTTTTGGCAATATTCCAGCAATATCACGGCAGGGGACACCAGAAATGGGCTTCACACATTGTACCTATGTAGGTAATCGCACCCGGGCCTTCAGCGTCACGAGCAAACACTTTAACCACTTGGCTAACCCACCTCCCCTCAGCAGTGTTGAAGGGGTATATCACACAGGGCACATTGTTTGTAACTAGTATAAAAAACCTTTGGTTTCATTGCCATTTGAACCAAGTTTGTTCTATACCCCTCAATCATCGACAGCATATTTAACTTGTTGTGTAGTGTCCCCCTTTGTCAAATTTCTAAGTGCTCAGGGTGGTTATTACTGTGAATACAGACCGGCAACTCGCCCGCCTCCAGGTGGCGCCCTACCTTGCGTCCAGCCAGGGTGAACCAGATAGCTGAGAGGAATGTACAGTAGAATCCGGGGTACACTCCATGCCAGACTGCACTCAGGATATAAGTCAGGTGGGTGCGTAAAAATGGAGCCCGTTCATAACACACGTAACGCAGCCATCTAGTCGTCTGGATGTTCCAGTTGTCAATAAATGTTTTAAAACTTGTTGCTGTCTGGAAGAAAAAGAACGATATACTCAGAAAATGTCATTGGAGAAAAACTATACCTGTTATTCAAGAAACATTTTCTTACATATGAAACTTGGAAAAGGACAAAATATATACTACTCAAAACAAGTTAAAGAGCACCCAATTGTTCATATGACTGTTGTTAATCAGTGATAGCTGGTGGATACTGGTGGATACATGATGGGGAATCGAACCCGGGTCTTCAGTGTGACGAGGGAACACTTGAACCACTAGGCGACCCCACTGCTCCCCCCCCCCCCCCCAACTCAGCATAGTTGGGTGAGGTGAGGTGAAATGGGGTTTAACATCGCGTCCAAGATTATTGCACTTATATAGTGATGCACATGCACGTGTATGTGTGGTTGCTTGTACTGGTCCGGACGGATGCTGATTTATTGTGCTAGCCCACTGAGATACCAACACACAGTTTAACATGTATACCCCACTCAGACACAGCATACTGACTCTGAGCCGACCAGTCCTTATTTTAGCCCCTAAATGCCGAGCACTAGGCAGGGTAACAACAAGTACCATCTTATAATGTCTTTAGGTATAATGCGCCTGGGGATAGAACCTCAGACCTTCCTCTCTCCGGGCGGACGCTCTACCACAAGACCACGGAGGCGGTCTCAACATAGTATAAACTATGTATGATTGAATGGTCTTGTTACCCAATGAGATCTTAAATGAACATGCAAACCAATCCGATGATAATATACAATACATGTATATTCAACATGATAGAAATAAATTCATTTATCATCACTAATTTCATGACAAACTTACCTCTATTTTTTCAACTCTAATATTTGTCACCATATCCCATTTAGCATTCCCATTGCCATCAAGTCCATTGAAGCCATAGCCAGAAGCATTATATACAATATCAGCTGAAATACAGGAAGAATTCACTTGCACTGAGATGGTCAGAGATGGTATTCATGTGTTACTGAACACTGTCAAGCAGCCATTATTCACTGGTCATCCGTTAAACATTCACCTAAATAAACACTTAAAAAAATAGGACAGAACAAGAAAACAGCATCATCACTATCCCCCGCCACAGGGCACAATAGAATTTTGTTAGTTCATATAGAAGTGAATAATATGCAAGTTAATGTTAACTTTACATGTGTATCTCTAAGATAAGGATGCAAACTTTCATTGGTTAGTCACGTGATATATTGTTTAATGACAAAAATAATCTAGAACTCTATGGTTACACTTCAAGTCACTAATGTTCGCATTTCTTTCTGACTGTGCACCCATTCCTTCTGATTTTTTCATATGGTTAAATAAGGATATAACTTAATTCAACTTCTGTGTATGAATGACCAGACTGTTTAATACATGAATCTCAATACGTTTTGCCAGGGCTATGCTAAAAATGTCCCCAATCGGACATTTTTTTAGACATCTCCTGAGACCTATAGTGGGTAACCAGGTAGGGTCGGGTAATAGGGGAATGGGATGGGGGGGGGGGGGGGGGGTACTCGGGTAGTAAATTTGGACTCGTCCCAGCCCTAGTAGACATCATGAGCTTCTATCCACCCACTTGGATACCAGGACACACAATCCACCAAGTCACAATCTGACCACCCGATCCACTTACATGGGCGGATCCAGCATTTTTAAAAGAGAGGGGTCCAAAATATCAAAATCCTCTCTCAGTCTATTTAACTGCCTACAACATACTACATTTTCTAGAAAAGGGGGGATCAAGACCCCCGGACCCCCCTCTGCATCCGGATATGATGTTTAGTCGCCTCTTGCAACAAGCATAGGTTGCCGGAGACCAGTTCTAACCCGGAATCCCCACACAGTCAACTACTTGGTAATACATTTGATTTCTTCTTCAGTTGCAATTCCTGTCAAAACACTAATAAGATCTTACCTAACGTCCATGTGAGGAAGTACTTGGATCTGTGACACAACATTGACACGTACATGTAGCCTAGCCGGTAGAACACAGTGTGTCTCTGTATAAAATCAGCATCTGCAAAACACATTCCTCCATTGTAACAGTAAACTTCACCCAATGACATGCACATGTATTTATGATAGGGAGTGAGTGGCCACAGTGTGTCTGTATGAAATCAGCATCTGCAAAACACATTCCTCCATTGTAACAGTAAACTTCACCCAATGACATGCACATGTATTTATAATAGGGAGTGAGTGGCCACAGTGTGTCTGTATGAAATCAGCATCTGCAATATACAACATTCCTCCATTGTAACAGTAAACTTCCCCACACTGAAATGTACATGTATTTATAATAGGGAGTGAGTGGCCAGTGTGCCTGTATGAAATAAGCATCTGCAATACACAACATTCCTCCATTGTAACAGTAAACTTCACCACACTTATATGCACATGTATTTATAATAGGGAGTGAGTGGCCAGTATGTCTGTCTGAAATTAGCATCTGCAATACACAACATTCCTCCATTGTAACAGTAAACTTCCCCACACTGATATGTACATGTATTTATAATAGGGAGTGAGTGGCCAATGTGTCTGTATGAAATCAGCATCTGCAATATACAACATTCCTCCATTGTAGCAGTAAACTTCACCACACTGATATGTACATGTATTTATAATAGGGAGTGAGTGGCCAGTGTGTCTGTATGAAATCAGCATCTGCAATATACAACATTCCTCCATTGTAACAGTAAACTTCCCCACACTGATATGTACATGTATTTATAATAGGGAGTGAGTGGCCAGTGTGTCTGTATGAAATCAGCATCTGCAATATACAACATTCCTCCATTGTAACAGTAAACTTCCCCACACTGATATGTACATGTATTTATAATAGGGAGTGAGTGGCCACAGTGTGTTTTAGCAATCTTCCAGCAATATCATGGCGGGGGGACACCAAAAATGGGCTTCACACATTGTACCCATGTCGGGATTCGAACCCGGGTCTTCGGCGTGACGAGCGAGCGCTTTAACCACAAGGCTACCCGACCGCCCCTGTGGGGAATCGAACCCGCATCTTCAACGTGACAGGCAAGAAGTTAACCACTGGGCTACCCACCACTCCATTATTTATAATACATCATACCATATAGCATGAACATAGTACTAAAATTTGCCTTATTGTAATTCTCACCATATCAATTTAAACAGTGTTGGAGAATGACAAATAATGAGTCATCTGGTTCACCCAATTGCATGCATTGTTCGAGATAAATGTAGTTAACCTTGGTGACCTGAGGAAGGTGTTCACCATACCTACCTGCATTGTTGGATGTAGGCACAAGGACACTGGAGACGTGGAGATACAGATAGACCCATACACCTAGCATCACACACTTGTAAAATACCACTCTCTGAAAATACCAGTCACAACTACATCACTATCAACATCACACCTAAGACATAATGGTGAGTGAATGCTTTCTTTGTACTGTTTTGTTTTAAAACACAACTGCATCTTAATTTGAAGTTTTACTTTGTTTTTCTCATGTTTAACTCTGTAGCTAGTTTTCTTGCCGCAGAGATATATATGTAACAGGGATATAGGAAACAATCAACAATAAATTATAAAATTTAAAAGAAAATACATCCATATGAACCCTGCAACACAAAGCATGATGTAAGCCATTCAAGGATATCTATCAATTCAAGACACATCTACTCATATTTCAATCTCATTAAAATCAGATCTTAGTTCGCGCTACCGCTAAACAAAGATCTGAGGACATCCAATTACGCGTCAGACCGACCTTGCGAGAACTTTGACCGACCAATGGAATGACCAATCAGAAGGCTGCTTTCTCGTGCTTTACGGCACAAATTTCAAATTGGCGACTACGCTTCGAGGCATATTTTGACAAATTCTCGATTACAAATTTGAAACCTGAACAAAAAAACATTCTGGAATGGCTAATAGATGGTCTAGATTGTAAGGATTCAGTCGCTAAACCCATAACTATCGTTCGGAATACCCCATGTTAAAGTTTTCGAGATTGCATGATTAGAAATCACATTCCGACTGTCCCTTCTATAATCTGGTAAGCGACACACTGATTGGTCGGATGAAAGGTCGTTCTGACGTGACCCCTAATGGGATGTCTTCAGATCTTTGTTTAGCGGTAGCAAGAACTAAGGTCTGATTTTAATGAGATTGACTGATATCTATATTCATCGGCACTTCCAGATCACTTACCAAAGGTGATATAGATTTAGGATCAACCAATGGCTTTTTATCATCATCCTGAAGAAGAAAAACAAGCACATGATCAGTCTTCAAATAAAGTTATACCTTCTACTGAAAAGAACAATTCTGATTATCAAATTCAACTAGTCTTTACTGAACATGTACTTTCTCCGAAACATTGTGATGAAATCCTGCTTCTAAAAAATGAATATCTATTACTCTTTTCTCTTCACAATTCAACATCGTACTATAAAATAACATGCGGTTACAACTGGCAGTCACTATGATAACACACACTTGAAGATTTTTTTGCTCTTTAATGAAAACCTATTTCTGCCCAATACGGCCAATTCTGTGCAATATGGCCTCTGCAACATTGAACTATAGAATGATCGTAAATACCACACAGCAGAAAACCTGGATATCAAAGTTTGAACCAACAAGAAACTTTCTATCACACAGAGACACATACACACACACACTTCTAAAAACGTATCTTCATTTTCAACAGATTCTTCTCAATCTTATGGCCTTTAATTAACAAAGTTTACAAGACTCTAGCTTCAGGCTAGATCCAGTCTAGATCCTAAACATAGTTAAGATGCAGACTGCATAAAAAGATGACATATAATTAAATAAATATTCTGAGATAAAAAACAACAAAATCATACTAAGCTGAGAAGATCTGGCATCCCTGGAGGTTGCTATTGACTTACTTTAGTTTCTAGTCTAGACGTGATGTGCCGACCATCTATAAAATCAATATAGTCGTTGTAGAACGTAAAAGGTCCTGCCAAGATTCCTTGGAAGTAAAACATATAGCTGAAGAAATGTAGCAGATTGGGAGGTTTGCTGAAAGAAGAATAATCACTGTAGGATTCAAGAATGTGTGAATGTACTGATTTGACAATGACAATACGTTATGACCCACTTGGGAATTCTTTGACAATATGAAAGTGCTGACAGATTGTATACATAAAATAAAATGACAAACAATACAAAACACTTTCACATGTGTTTCGCCACAGAGAACTGACATGCATCAACCAAGTCAGCGAGTCTGACCACCCAATCCTGTTAGTCGCCTCTTACGACAAGCATATTCGCCTCTTACGACAATCATGGGTTGCTGAAGACCTATTCTACCCCGGGTCTTCATGGAGGCCCCCAGTTGAGGTACAATCCCACGCAATAAGCAAGTCACATCAGATCACTAGATGCTACGATTATCATAAGTGTGTTAGAGTATCGGAGTAACGATCAATGTAGCGCTTAGATAGCTTTGTGCATATGGCCCCAGAGAGGACACACCCTAACCTGATAACTCTTTTCTTCTGTGAGTCTGTGAGACAGTTGTTGTCTAGCTTATATCTGTGAGAGTCTGTTATACTGAAGGCAAGGCTGGAGAGCTTCTGAACCGACACTGTGCATGGGCTGAAACAAACACTCACATGTCATCATGGTAGATATCACACAAGGGCGGATCCAGCTTGTTTAAAAGGGAGGGGTCCTAAATACCAAAACCTCTGTAGAGTGTAGGATGGGGTGGGGCTAGATTTTCTACAACATGCTACATTTGGTTTTCAAAGGGGGGGGGGGGGGTGTCTGGACCCCCTGGACCCACCCTCCCATGTTACAGGAGTGCTGGATCCAGAGGTTGGTTCGGGGGGGTCAACCCCAACACACTTTCCAAAATCACACAAGTACCCCAATGACAAGAACCAAACAATATCAAGGTTAAATACCGATTCATATTTAGGCATCACCATCCTGGTTTTGATTGTTAAAGAATTGAACTTATTGAAACAGCATTGGATTGCAATGCTTAAATTATTTTAACAAAAATAACCTGTTAAAAAACTGCTGGGGACCAAAGTTTGTTCTCAGACTTTAAAAACAAAAATCGTAAAATGGACATGGTCTTAAGATTACTGTAGTGGGTAATAAAAAACACTGTTTGGCTTTTCTTTCAGAGAGCAAAACTGCATTCTGTCTCAAACTACCAGACCCAACAAGAACACTAAATGAACAGCCCCTTATTCATGAACAATTCTGAGATATTCATCTTACGGTTATCCTAACTTCTTTGAATGCCAACCTGTGAAGACACCAGGGTTCTTTAAAACCTTTCTTCACTCATTACACTTGTAAGACTTATCTAATGGTAAGAGTGAGTGAGTGAGTTGGGTTTAACGCTGCTTTTAACAGTATTCCAGTTATATCGCGGCGTGTCAGCTTAATGTGGGTGGAAAGCCAGAAGTGATGCAGGTCTCAGACGTTTACCACTTTGGTGAAACCCACGAGCACAGGTATGGTGCTGACAAACCTAGAAACATAATCGGGGCGAACCAGGATTCGAACCCTCAATTATAGGTTTCTGGCATGCCCAAGGAACGCAACTCTGCACAGCGAATCGCGGCGCCTTAGACGACTGGGCCACCTGTGCCCCCCTACGGTAAGAGAAACCTCTTGACTGAGCATTTATTTTCTCTCTATAATAATATATGACCAACCATGAGATGAGGTGCCTTATAGGTGAAAAATCATGTTTTGACTTTTCATTATATTTTAAAACTACAGCATCTTCGGAACACAAAAATACAATTCACAAGCTTTGCCTCATATGATTAACAGAGATACATGACATCACACATGGCGTTGTTCCCTGAAGTAAGTTGACGTCAAACGTCTTTCTGACGTCATAGCACAATTGTATTCGAGCCCCCATAAGGTGCTCCTGGTGGGTCATATATATTCTTTGAATTGATGCCATGCCAAGATGCCTGTGACTAGCCTGACAGGGTTACTTACAAGGTGATGTCGAGGAACTGCATGTCTTCTGGCAGGAGATAGCGGTACAGACACATCGCCACCAGGTAGCCCAGGCTGAATATCAGCACACACCTGTAGGAAACAGTGAGTGAGTGAGTGAGTGGGTGGGTGAGTGAGTGAGTGGTTGCATGAGTGAGTGAGTGGTTGCATGAGTGAGTGAGTGAGTGAGTGAGTGAGTGGGTTGGTGAGTGAGTGAGTGAGTGAGTGAGTGAGTGAGTGAGTGAGTGAGTGAGTGAGTGAGTTGGGACTTGAATGTAACTTTGGACTGCATTTCATTGCTGCATGTCTGATTAATGTTAGATGTAACCAAGCAAACCACTATGGGAAAACCAAGGATCAGGGTGAAACAAGGATTTGTACCAACAATCATCAGATCATGACACAACTAGGGGACACAACTCTGAAAAGTGTATTTCATCCTGTGGCACAAAGTGGCTTTAGGGAACATTGCCTGCCTTGTATTGCATCCTGATGTGTGGCTGAATGTATATCTCCACACACAAGGGTGTATTTCACTCAGTAATCAGGATCTAGCACACAGCCATAGCAGCCAAAAATGTTTGTCATTCAGACCAACAAAAATCAAAAAAAATTAAACTGTATTGAAAACTCTCTGATTAGTCATGTTCTAAAAACAGAAAGATATCTTGACAGGACAATCCATAAATTCAATTACATAATTAATCATGATTCACTACTCACATGTGCATGATCTGTGGTGGGAATGTGTTCATCATGACATAGCAGACTGACGACTGCAACACCAGGTGCCACGTCTCCCTGAAACATTGCATGCATCACATTACTGATTGAAACACCAGGTGCCACATCTCCCTGAAACATTGCATGCATCACATTACTGATTGAAACACCAGGTGCCACATCTCCCTGAAACATTGCAGGCATCGCATTACTGATTGAAACACCAGGTGCCACGTCTCCCTGAAACATTGCATGCATCACATTACTGAGTGCAACACCAGGTGCCACGTCTCCCTGAAACATTGCATGCATCACATTACTGAGTGCAGCACCAGGTGCCACGTCTCCCTGAAACATTGCATGCATCACATTATTGAGTGCAACACCAGGTGCCACGTCTCCCTGAAACATTGCATGCATCACATTACTGAGTGCAACTCCAGGTGCCACGTCTCCCTAAAACATTGCATGCATCACATTACTGAGTGCAACACCAGGTGCCACGTCTCCCTGAAACATTGCATGCATCACATAACCGACTGAAACACCAGATTTCTCATCTCCCTGTCTTTGCCCGACACACGTGCTTAGTAAGGTTTAGATGTCGGGCAAGTAACATATGTTTTCTAGCATGCCCGTGGACAATTAGAGAACACGAAATGAACTGGGTCAAGTTTCACAAGAACACGATCATGTGATCATGTTACGATATTTCAATGGCTAATATCTTGCTAGTGTCCCAGACTAGCAATCTCATTTGCATACGGTTACCCCAGTCAACCAATGGGATGAGTACACTTCGAAGTCAGGCAGGTCAACAATGAGAACCAGGCTTGTTTCACTGATAAATCGCAGTCACACTTCCATATATGGCACATGCTTCTTGAAAATTGAATGACGGACAGTTGACTTCATTTCTTGGAATTTGTAATGCAAGGTACGTCTGCTAGTGCCAGCTTTTGAAGCGTTGTTAGACTTAGCTTTGATGAACTATTTTATTCGAATACACCAGTCACCGTCGAGGCTCACACGCTTTCGATCGTGAAAACTTTGTTGACACATAAGTCAAACTACAACAAATATGACTTTTGACAAGTCTGAGTAGTAGAGGTTATCACGCGAGTGTGTTTGGGGATGGTAAATATCCTGCATTAGGAATAAACATTGTATTTAGCGAGCTTTGGCGAGCTAAATACATAGTGTTTATTCCTAATACAGGATATTTACCATCCCCAAACACACAAGCGTGATAACCTCTTTATCATATAAAGTCATTCTTTAATTCTGTACTTCAAAATTGCTTTCCCCCTTTCACAAACATTACCGAAACATTGCGAGTTTTCCTGGAATGCTCACATTAATATTTATTACGTCACAGGGTAAGTGATGTGTCAGTCGGACAGTGACAGTAGCCAATATAGTTCCAACTGAAATCTATTTCTTATACAGTGGCGAAGCAACATAAACGCAAAACAACAATTGTTTTTAATTGCCTTTCGCGGCAATCCATCGGTCTGTCCGCTAGAGTAACTGCCCTTTGTCAAAGGGAAGCTACTCTTACCCTAGTCTATGAGACGTCACGGCCGCGGTCAGAGGTTGTTGACAGTCGGTCTGTCCTGTCATAACGTTAAGAAGTGTAGTCAGATGTACACACAGCGACAAAACGAAACAAGGTAACAATTCAAATATATTTCGGCCAAATCCAACTATTATAATTTGTGGAGAAGGTTTCAAGCCGCAGAGGTCTACAAGCACAGATATGGTTACTGATCCCACTTGGCTAGGCCTCGTGCCCTCGCAAAATTGTTTCGAAATTCATATCTCCAAAGTTGCCAAAACTTATAAAATGCCTTATCTACGTCACAGTTAGACACTGATTTTCAGTATATTAGACTGTTCTTTTGATAACGATAGCAATTATCCCTGTAGTTTATCCAGAGTCCCGATGGTTAATTCTGACTCGATCGCCGAATGACGAGGGCGACGCCATGTTTGTTATAAACAGTAAAAGTAGTCCCTACTTGACCTTTGATATTTGCATCTCTATCCGCATATGACCCCTACAACAGATATCATTTTTATCCATTGGCTTTATCCTACCGAGAAACCTACCCATTATATGATAATCGCATTTATCAATCATCATGTTTGTGATATATGTACCGGTATCCATTCTCTGGCAACTAAAGATTGTTTCAAGGCATCAATAGCAGTAATCTGACTGTGGTTGCTGAAAATAATGGTGAGTTGTGCGATCTACCGATCACTTGACACATGGTTTCGCAGAAATGAATGTAAACAAATATTGAATTAAATTTTGAAAAAATAAATAAATTATATAACAAACATCATGAACATAAGTCCAGATATACAATGAATACATTTTTATAACCAGATAGTATAATAATGAGATAAAATTGCGTGCTTCGGTTCGGATTTGTTGACTGGTATTTCTGGTGTTACGTGCTCGTGGTGATCAGCTGATAATGTTTTTTGAGATGAGGGGAAAAACATTGTGTCAGTGTAAAACTTGAGTTTATTAAATATGTTAGTAAATTTTTGGAGCCATGTGTTACCGCTCGCTATAACCAAGTTAGTGCAATAGCATGGGAACACTGTATCTCAGATTCTCAGTTCTGTTCATGTAACATTTTACTGAATGTATTAGCTGTTTTGGGGGCAAGTACATTTTATAATAGGGCAAGTAAGAATGTGAGTCATACTTGCCCTTGGTCAAGTAACATTTTTCATAAGTTTTCAACCCCTGACCATGACAAGCCTTGCCTTTCTCTTCCTCTTGAACTCCTCTAACCACCTCTAACAGTGACAATGGAAGTCACATCAACCCCTAAAGTTGCCACCATGTCTGCATGAATGGCTGTCAGAGTCAGCCCTATTATCAGTTTTAGATACTTCCAACAGTGACAATGGAAGTCACATCAACCCCTAAAGTTGCCACCATGTCTGCATGAATGGCTGTCAGAGTCAGCCCTATTATCAGTTTTAGATACTTCCAACAGTGACAATGGAAGTCACATCAACCCCTAAAGTTGCCACCATGTCTGCATGAATGGCTGTCGGAGTCAGCCCTATTATCAGTTGAAGACGACAGCATGGAATCAAAGTTTGTGCACTTTCAACAACAGAAAAGCCCTGGTTACTTAGATGGCTGCATACATACACTGCCTTGTGTATTTGCTTCAGGTGCAGCCTGTAAGCATGGGAAGTAGTGTACTTCATGCACACAAACTGTTAAAGGAGTACAAAACACCCTTCATAGTTAGGCTCAAAACTTTTCAGCCACCCTCATAACATTGTCTTTGGTAAATTGCAAAAAAAGCACTTCTTAGAATGCACAGAAGAGTCAGATATTCAGTATGTGGGTCTAATTGCCAAATGAGTTGACTAAACACCACTAACCCTCAGAGACCTAACCTTCAGCCTCCAAGAGCTGCCTCGGGAGCGTAGCTTGTAATTGGGTCTCTCCCCGGTAGTGCACAAGAGTATCCCAACAGTACCAGTCTGATAGGATAGCTTGAAATAAGCTTTTTCTCTGTTATCAATGGTTATGAGAAAACGGGTATTTCAAATTGTCAGGTGTACCTGCTATTTGAGATAGTGTGTCAGATCAGTAACTAGCCTGTTCCTAGTGACACGCATGCCTTGACACACGAACTACATAAACAGCAGTATAAAAACTGAGTTATGAAGTGAATTGGGTTAACATGTTCACAGGTAGTTAACATGTTCACAGGTATAAACAGGCAGCATCTCATCTACAAATTAAGAAGGCATGGGGTGGCCCAGTTGCTGCAGCTTGATGTGCCGAGTTGCAGGACCAACGGAGGTAGGGCTAGTATAAAGCTGACCGTTACATTATGCCCTGATTGTGTAAACACTGGAGCCGGCTACAGTAGTTGATGTCAGACTACAGTAGTTAACATCACTAGACTACCATATTGTAGACTTACATCTAGTTTCTGAAATGCACATATTTTACAAATAAAAACAGTTGTTAAATTATAGTTATAGTTTTGTTATATAATTTAGGGAGTGGAGCATCTGAGGTGAAAATACAAATCCATAATTTTCCAGGACATATTATTTTTCTTTAAGAATTCCCAGTGTCCCCAGACTATGAAGGGGTCAGGCCCTGACGACTACCCCGTACACAGACCGTGGAAAGTGGGCCAGCGTTAGAACACTGATACTGCTATACTTCATGGTGTAGAATCATGGATCTCGTTGCCCATTTATCTGCCAATATTGAGTCTATTGTTTCCTGTACAAACAGTCTCCAGTTGCAAGGGCTGACCCACCACTCACTAATCAATACCCTGAGCTGTCGAAATTGTCATTAGTCAGGGCTCACTAGGCCATTGATTAACACTACGACAATCATGGTGAAGGCATGCCTTGGATTCAGCCACACAGGTGCACAATAAGTCCCCAGCTCACTAGGTGTGCTGTGGCTGTTGAAGCGTGTTCATTTGCTGTTGCATAATCGACAGATGGCATATACTGCTGAATCAGCTTATCGGATTATTACGTGGTCAGCTCACTTTGCCAACATGACCACGAACCAACTGAAGCATAAAATCAGATCTTTCAGTCTGTCGGACTTGTCTGAGTGGCATGCCAGGCTCACCCTGATCATATAGTCACTGCTGCATTTAGTTTAAGTTTACATTAAACATTAACCTGGTAAGTCTACACGGTTAGTGTTTGCACAACATGCAAAGCTTGTGGTAGTGACATGTTTTAATTTTCTGTGGCAAAATGTTCGTACCCAGTGCACTCAGGAAGAAAGGTTAACGATCAGTCTGGAGTAGTCCTGTGGGAATTCTGGGTCAGAATATAGGTCCCAATCAACTTATGCTGGTTGTAAGAGGTGACTAAATGGATTGGGCGGTCAGTCAATGACTTAGTTTATTGCATGTTATCGTATCCCTATTACATGGATCGTGCCTCATGATATTCATCATTGGATTGTCTAGTCCAGACTCGATTATGTTGCTGAAGTATTGCTGAGTGCTGTGTTAAACAACAAACAACAAACAACGACAATGAATGATTTT